ACGCGCGGTCAGCCAGCAGAGAGAGGCTTCAGGTAAGCGATAATGATGACGGCTTGTTAAGGAGGTTCGTAAAGTGTCGTATTTCCAATGACACACCCCAAGGGAACCTTTTATAAATTTACTATTTATCAAATAGGAAATTATGTTTATTTCGCTACCCCGATAATGGATGATAATTTGAATCGAAGTTGAGTAAATATAAATATATATATATATATATATATATACAATTTTGCAAATATGTCCTCGAGTATATTTGACACGAAATCATTTTTATTTCCCTGTTATATTTTTATATGATTTGAATGAGCGTTCTGACATTTCATATAATTTTGTTTCACAGCTCAAGGATATTAATAATTAAGTAATTTGAAACTAAGCTATATGAAAGAAAATCATAAAATATCAGAATGTTTACTACATTAAGTTGTAACAGGGAAATAAAAATGATTTCGGGTCAAACAGATGTTACTATAAATTATAAATTTTCGACTACTGTATTTTCAAAATGAAAAAGTCAATATAATTCTGAAATGTCTATAATAATATAAAGTAATATCTATATATTATGCCTAGTTCCACCATCATGGTTTAATTGACGATTAACTAACGGAACTGACCAATCATATTGGCTAATAAGCTGAATTGATTAATGTGATTGGTCAATTTCGTCGAGTTAATCGCCGATTAGATTTAAACCATGATATCGGAACTGGGCATTAATCTTTAATATTGCGACTGTTTTCTAAACTTCTATTTTACTAATTGGAAGAAATCTTTTGTATCATGAGATCTCCACACGCTTGCGCGTATAAGTTTATAACTAAATATTTCGGAAACGATACGGTAAGGATTATCGAAATTTCTGTTACCCAGTGTTAATTCGATTAACAATACATCATGTATATATTACGGGGTTTATCTTATATTTCATCGAATATTCGAACCTCTTTAATATTCATCGCTCAGGAATTTATTTGAAAACACACAAGGGGCGAATATCGTGCCATGGTAACGTTACGAAGCCGATAACGGATTTATTTACAGCATGGGGCGATCGGACATTAAAGATATCGCGGATGTAAATTAAAATTAGAAAGTCCGACCAGTTAGAAGGGCGCGGGTAATGGCTACGAATTTTCTGGAAATTAAGGCGGAAAACCGGAAGCTCGCACGCTCGTGGTCCTTTAGCGTGGAACGCTATTTTCGAGGTAACCGCGCGATTTGCGTTGCAAATGCTGTTTCAACGCGAACTGTTACAGCCACCCCTTCGCGAAGTGGAATCTCTTACCCGTGGACGTGACGAAGAAAGTGACGGATTTCACAAGTCGCATTTTTAAGCCTCCACGTTTTCATCATAGACATAATAAATATAATACATAATGAACCCAGAATACTGTCTATTTTTACATGGAAAAAAGTAGATTTGGCAAAATTAAGAGAGAGAGAGAGAGAGAGGCAAAACATCAGAAATCTGTCCTTTGCTGTGCGCACACGTTTAGCACAACAATGACTGACTATCAGCTGAGTACATATTGTGAGCATTATCTAAGAAAATGGAACACATAACTAAGAACTATAATTATACTGTAAGAACTATAATTACAGTCGATTCGAGTGTTAGGCCTTGTATTCACGATGCTAGATCTGAGACCGATATCAAGTATTCATATTGGTAGATGCTGGAGACTAGAATTTCCAGTCATTTCTAGTAACTTTTACGTTCAATCAACAACTCGATCTTAGATCTAGCTTTGTGGACACAAAACCTTAAGTTGTATTCGAGGAGCATGCTATCAGCATCAGGCTAATATATCATTTTATCTTTGTCTCATTAGATATACGATAAGGAATACGATAAAATGACTCGTTAACGCTAATGAGTGCTAAAAGTGCGAACACGTACTTAGACAAACATTTGCAGCGTGTGAAGTGTTTTCACATAATATGAAAACTACGTTTCTGTGTATTTCTTGCTATCGTGAGCGCCAAACGAGAAACTCCAAGTTGATAGCTTAATAGTCAGGCGCAGTTTTAATTCTCACATCTTTTCCGACGACCTTCCGCCCTCAAAAACACAACCGACACATAAAAAATAAAGTTATGTTCATCTATAAAAAAACATCAGCCTTGAACCTTTCGTAAAAATCTCAAAGAACTCACCGAGTGATTCAATATATAATGCATGGTAGAAGAGCTGCGCAAACGGCAATGCAACGATCACGGCGTTGACGTGAAAGAATTACAGAAAAATGACGAAACAGACTTACTGATGGGCGTTAACCTTAACTCACCTCCCAATACCGCAGGAAAGTCCCGATCTTGAACAGCCTGAACCTGCGGGCGACCCTGCACCTCGAGAATCCCGATTCGCCGAACATGTTGCTCGTCGTCGTCGTCAGCGGCTCTGTAAATAGCGCGGAGATAAAAAGAATCGAATGCAACGGAAACTTTGACAAAATAAAGAAAATTGTTATACCGTGTTTTTTGATTATAATACAGCCAATACGTTAATTATACGCGCGCGAAGAGAACTTGGAGAAACGAATTTCGAACGATCGATAGTCCGATGACTTACGGAATACATGTCAGATAGAGAAAAAAAACACCGATCAACTAATTGCGATACTTCCCGTCACGGTTACACTCGACTCGCAGAGATCGCGACATCTGTACTTCGGCTAATTTCAAATCGCACCCCGCAACCAATGGGAACGTTCACCTCTTGAATATCACTAAAGAAACCAAAAAAGCCTATTTTCTAGTAAGCGAGGGGCTATTAAGCGGGGTTTATAATGAGAATTTAAGGCGTAAGATTTAAGAAATCGACCAATCATAATTGCTCTATAATTCGACTGTGACGGTCGATTTCTTAAGTTTTATGCCTTAAATTCTCATTGTAGACCCCGCTTTACTCGGTTCTCAAGACGAGGCTTGAAAATTACAAAAGCGAGCAAATTCACTAATTGATGACCAATGAGATCGTAAGTATTCGAATAAATTCACTCACTTTCGTCATTTCCAACTCATTCTGAGAACTCATCTTAACAGACCCTTCTTTCCTTTCTCCCCTTCAATACTGAATTATGCACTCGTCTCGCTCTGATAGGATAAAAAGTGCAGCCTAGTTCAGGAACAAAAAACAGAACCTTTACTCTCCTTCCCATTGGATGTTTGCGAAACGTACTGGGAAAGAGGTGTCACGACTTTTGAACACTCTCATTAATGACTTTTAGTCGTTCGCGCGTCTAGATATGATATGACCGCCATTTTATTTCTGCGTACTCGGCGCGTCTCGCGACACTCGATACGATACTACAATGCACGATACGGCACGATACATCGCTTGATATGACAATACAATGACAAATAAATACGATGTATCAAGTTGTCACGAGGACAGACGTCAATCGATTAATTAACACTCGTAACAAAGTCATAATATAAGCATATCCGGACGCGTACATCAACAAGTATATTTTTCACCTAACTAACGTCAAGCCTTTTTTATCGAAAGCCTTATTAAATCTGTGTGAATGCAACCTTATATTAAATAATGAAATTATAACTTTGTATCGTATATTGATTAAATATATAAAACATAGAGACGGTGGCAGATCGTCGCGTTTTTCCACCTCGGGGCTCGTACGCGAGACCCTCGCCGTTTACCCGTCTGGATTTTTACGTGATAGCCCGGAGAAGCGAGAATCCGCCATCCGGCGACGGGACGAAAGGAACGACAAGGAAAATTATTCAGGAACGCGACAGGCACGGACACAAAATGGCCCGCTCGCTACGGCGAGGAGCTATTTAAATATGTACCGAGAACAACGCGGAACGTGACTGCCGGCGGATCGGTGTACACGCTTTGCTCGCTCCTTCGTCGGAATTGTTTCCCTACGGAGTCCCACGCTCGTGCCGTTCTCGCCGTCCACCGTTGTGTACAAAATTCCGTCCGCTGTTTTCACGCGACGACGACTATATCGCGAAAATCCAGGTTATCGCTCGCGCATAAATACGCGCGCGCGCGCGATCACCTCACCGCCATTTCCGAGACTGAGTTCTCGCGCCAATCGCGAAGGATATTTTCTCTCTCTCTCTCTCTCTCTCTTTCGCAAATACGAGCCTTCTATTCGCGCGCGCGTGCGAATTCACGAGGCCGATTAAGCTCCGATCGCGAGATCAATGCGAATTTGCAATTTACGGGTCGATTGACGAGTGTAATTAATCCAGGCAACACAAATCTCTAAAAGGCAAACGGAAAATGATGACGTAAAAAAACATATATATATATATATTACAGTCTTCAGTTCATCTTCAGACGCCGAACGATTCATTTCATTGGCGAAACATCTGAAGATGAACTTATTACGGTCTCAAAGACCCGACTGTGAATACTGTCCATAGGACGTCACAAGGACATGTTTAAGACGTCCAGCGTCTCGATTCTAAACACTACGCTGTCCGGGTAGATGCGAAGTAAAACCGGATCGAAGGTTTCGGTGGAAACTAGACCTTAGACGCCTTTGGGACGCCCTTTGAAGGTTCGCGCTGGAAGCGTTAATAACGAAGCGAACAACGGACGAATAAGTAAATTGACACGAGACTAACCCTGTCGAGCGGGACGCTTCGCCCTCACCTCGATGTGCCCGGGATCAGGGCTCTCCGTACGATCCTCCTCACAGGGACGTCCCGTGCGGTGCGCGCGGCAAGGACAAGAAGAAAGTTCGAAGGAGGGTCCGACGGTTAGGGATCGCCACCGGCGCGGTCCTTCGAACTCTCGCCGAGCGCGCGACAGGCATGAACACGCACGCACGCACACACCGAGCACGAAAGTCACGGTCGCGCGACAGATAGAGGGTCGCGTCCGTCGTCGCGCATCGCGGCACCTGTTCTCCCGCGCTCCGGCGGCCGTCTCGCGGGCGGCGCTGCCGCCAATGACGCGTTCCGATGGTAAGAACGGGCTCTCGAGTGGCCGACCGGCCTGCCGTACGCGGCGCTCGCGTCGTGTCGGCCGGACGATCGCGAGGAGCGCGCGGGCATTGACGGCGGGACGAGCGCGGCGAACGAGCTCGCTCGGCGTCGGTGAGGGTGTAGCGTCGCAGCAGCAACACGAACAGCGGGGGTCGGTGTTGCGTAGGTGGTGTGATAGTGGCGACAGTGGTGGCCAGGGCGACGTGAGTACGAGATTTCGGGAAATTAATGCCGCGCGACGCCGACTCCGGGAGGAGGGAGAGGCCGCCGCGAGCAGCAGCAGCGAGTAGGAGGACAGGGAGAAGGTGAAAGTGAGCCGTCGGCGGTGGTGGTAGTGGCGGCGACGGTGGCGGTGCATAACCTAAAAATAAGTCCTCTCCCCGTCCGTTCTCCCTCGTCCGTGGCTACGCGCGATCGCCGTCGTGATAGTCGTCGTTGTCGTCGCGCCCGCATTGCGCACCGTTGTCGTCATCGTCGACGGCGGCCGCCCCGGTGGTGGTGCGTTGGAGCGCGCGGGGCCGCTCCCCGTGCTGCCCGCGGCGCGACACGCACCGCTCGCGCGGCGTGCCCGCTCCTCTCGCAGCATGCCCTTCGACATGACAGACGCGCCGACCTGCCCGGACCTGAAGGAATGACTTCGCAAAACGACCGGCCGCAGCGGGAAGCGGGCATGGAGACGAGTTGCTACGAGGTGGGGGAACACGCGGTCCCCGACAGCACGGTGCCGAGGAAGTCCTGGTCCGAGCTCAGAGCCGTCGTCAGCGATCTCCGTAGGAAGCTGTCCGGGGTGTCGGCGGGCTCCGTGCCCGGCTCCATAACCTTCCGATCTCTTCCGGATGGCCGGTGAAGACCTGGTTTACTCTTGAGACATTCATTCCTCCTTTCCCGCAAGTCTCTATCTTTCTCTCTCTCTCTCTTTCTTATTTATTTCCTGTTTTTCCTTCTTTTGCAGGACTAGAATCTATTTTCTTAGTACCCCCAGCAACGCCTGGGAGACTACCCTTCTGTACGTAGACATTGCACACGCGGATCACGCCAACGGTTACCGTCTACACTGGCAGCCTGTCATAGAAGCAAATTTCCAGAGGTAAGGAACCACCGTCGTAGAGAGGTGTCCTCTTCTGTGTGCCGTATCGTACAAGGTGGAAGTAGATTGTAACCCGGGACGGATGATTTCAGCGTGTCGAATAGACTGTCGAGGGAGGAGCAACTGTTGTGGGAGAGAAAGAGGCTCGCTACCTGGGGTATAACCAGCTACGAGATGCACGCGGAGAGTGGAAAACTAGTCTTTCCGGCTGCCAGCAGTCTCTACCAGTGCGTGGACACCGGATTCATGGTAATATCTCTCTGTCTGTGTGCGTCGCCAGACGGTAGCGAAGTGAAATGTCTGTAAATGTACGATTCTCCCCGTCGGTCAGCCGGGACCTCTTTTCCCGTCGGAGATCAGGATGTCGAACACCGGGGCGAAACTATGCCCTCAGATATGTCCTTGGAACAACGATCTGGTCGCTCACACGTGTTCCGGAGACCTGTATCTGTCTCACAGCATCACAGGCTCCTCGGTTCGTTTGACGCACGCTAGGAAAGGTGGCAGAAGTCTCATGGACGACCCACTTACCGCCGGCACTCCCTCCTACGTCATGCAAGAGGAATTCACAAGGTTAATCCCGTTATCGCCGGATACTCGTGTCATACCGATAGTCCCCGAAAATCCAGCCTTTATCCGCAGGTACGTCGGCTACTGGTGGCAGCCCAAGTCCAGCGACGGTATTTACCGGATCGTCTACGAGGAGGTGGACGAGAGCGACGTGAAGATTTACTGCTTCCCCTCCTCGTCGAACACCGACGAGGTGGACGAGTTCAGGTTTCCCCGGGCCGGTATGCCGAACGCTAAGAGCAACCTGAAGATGGTACAGTTCCGGTTGACGGAACTGCTGCAGATCGTCGACATCGAGATACTGGAGCTGCAGTACCCTCTTCACATTATGTTCCCTTGGATGGAATACATGGTCAGGGTCGGCTGGACTCCCGACGCGCAATAGTAAGTTGGCGACGAGTGAGAATACGCGCGCGAGCGCGGTGCGTTGTTGAGAGAGAGACGGAGTTGATAACAACAACTCTTCCGACGCAGCGTTTGGGTGCAGCTGCTGGACAGGAAGCAGCAGAAGCTCGAGCTGGTGCTGCTGTCGATCGACAACTTCTGCGAGCCGCCGCCGAACATGTACAACTCCGAGAACCACTTCACGCCGACGTCGGCGAGCGTCCAGGTGATCTATTCGGAGCAAAGTACGGTGTGGATCAACGTGAACGACTTGCTGTACTTCCTCAAGCCCGACGACGCGAACGAGGTGAAGTTCATATGGGGCAGCGAGGAGTCCGAGTTCCGGCATCTGTATCTCATCACGTCCAGCATAGCAGGTCCGACCTGGTTACCATGTGTGCACGCGAGACGTCACCCGTAAATCCGTCGTCGTTGCGAAAACCCGGTTGCTCTATTGCAGGACTGAGCGTCGGGGTGGAAGAGCCCTTGGACAGAATGGACAGCATATTCCTTCGGCCGCGCATCACCTCCAAAGTGGCCCTGACCCAGGGCGACTGGGAGGTGCTGGGCAAGAGGATCTGGGTCGACGAGGTGAACTCCATCGTCTACTTCTGCGGCTTACGGGAGGGTCCGTTGGAGCAGCACGTTTACGCGGTGTCACTGCGTCGGCCGCTGGAGATACGGCTCCTGACGAGACCCGGCTACAGTTACAACAGTATATATTTTAATAAGGAATGCGCTATGCTGGTCACTGTTTATAGTTCCATTAAAACGCTGCCTACTTGTCAAGTACGTTTCCCGCGCGGAAAGCGCGACTTCTCTCAGCGAGAAGTCTCTCGCCCGCTCCGACCCCGCGCGCACGACGCGCTCACGACGGGCCCGTTTCGCTCCGTAGGTATTCAAGATCTCGCAGACCGACTGGACGGTGGAGAGTATATCGCTCACACCGGTGGGCTACCTCCTCGAGCCGTCCGCGCCCGAGTCCGAGCTCTTCGCGCCGGAGGTCTTCACGCACAAGATCAAGTCGGGCGACACCATCTACTCGATGATATTCAAGCCTCACAATTTCCAGCCTGGCGTCAAGTATCCCACGATACTCAACGTTTACGGAGGACCCGAAGTACAACTTGTATCAAATACGTTTAAGGTGAGACAGAGAGAGAGAAAGAGAAGAGCGCACGCGCGCGCGTTCTTCATTAAGCGCGATATGTAAACGACGCGAAACGGCGTTTCAACTCGCTGCTTTTCTCCACAGGGTTTAAGACACCTGCGCATGCACATGCTAGCCGCTCAAGGTTACTGCGTGGTTCTCATCGACTCCCGCGGCTCCCAGCACAGAGGTCTGATCTTCGAGAGCCACTTGCGACGTAGAATGGGAACGGTCGAGCTGAACGATCAGGTCGAGGTGTTGAGGTGGTTGGCGGAGACCACCGGCTACATCGACCTGAATCGCGTGGCTCTGCACGGCTGGTCTTACGGAGGATACCTGAGCCTGATGGGTCTGATACAGTATCCGGATGTATTCAAGGTGAGGTGAGCGCGCGAACCGACCGGCCGACTTGACGTCTGACGTTCTCGCATTTGCAGCTGGCCATCGCCGGCGCCCCGGTCACCTCGTGGAACTTCTACGACACCGGCTACACCGAGCGCTACATGGATCTGCCGCAGAACAATCCCCACGGCTACATGTCCGGCTCGATCCTGACGTACGTGAACAAGTTCCCCGACGAGGAAAATCGGCTGTTGATCATTCACGGACTGATCGACGAGAACGTCCATTTCTACCACACCAGCCAGCTGATCAACGCCCTGGTCAAGATCGGTAAACCGTATCAACTGCAGGTCTATCCGAACGAGAGGCACAGTCTGAGGAGCATAGATGCCAGCAAGCACTATGAAACTACCCTGCTATCCTTCTTGCAAAATCACTTGTAAACCGACTTGTTACTCCACTGTTTCGTTTTTTGTCCCTTTCTTTTCTTTTTTTTTTTTTTATTACACCGTTAGGTAGTTCAGTGGTGTGTGTATGTGTGTGTGTGTGTGTGAGAGAGAGAAAGAGAGAAAGGGGGGGAGGAAGGAAGAAACGTTCGTTGAGATTTTGAACATTTCAGTAACTGCCATCTGTTTATAAACGAAAAACCTGGTGAAAAAAATTAAATTTGATGTGTGTCCTTTATTGTCTGCAGCTTCGTCGGAAACTGACGCTCATCTTTTCACAAGCAGATACGTACATCTCGATCGGGACTTTTCGGACAGTATTTTTTTAACACATCGTCATCACGATAGAGCATTATCGGATTATCGAGCGTACATCACACGATATTAACACGGACTCGTCGAGATTCCATGCTCGTGGAAAACTCGACTTGCCTTTCCGATAGAGGATTCGCAAAAATCGTCACCTAGACGCGCCGATGATAGATCTCCATGGACTAATCTTCGACAGCATCAGGGCCAGAAGTGTCACGGAACGCGTAGTTAAAGTACATTTGAAACAGCCTTTTTCATCAGCTATTGTTGAAATGCTCACGAGCGCAGCTAAATATTCGTTATGCGTGACTATTTTTTAAGAAATGACAGAGACAATACTCAATTTATTGACAATAGTTAATCAGAAAGACTACTTCAGATGCGTTTCTGTTTTCCGCGATCGCGTTTCGCAATATGTTGGACCTCGTGGACATCCCGACTGTGACTGTGTGTGTGTGTGTATGTATATATATATGTATGTATATATATACATATATATATATATATATATATAAAACTGTGCGTGGTTGTACATTCATCTTTCTACGATGAGTGAGGATCCTACGTTTCAGCGAGAAAAGTATTTGCGTTCTTCAATGTTATGAAACAGTCGTATATCCGATGGATAATTATTTCACAATAAAACAAATTTATTATTTTATATTTTACTCTTTTATATATATATGTATATATATATATATATATTATGTCTTGTGCCCTGCATCGAATCAGTCGGTATCCCACTAATCGATGTGACAATTCGCCGAATCAGATATTTGAAAAAATTATATACGTCGCAAAATATCAACCTTTGCCAAAGTCGATAAGAGAAAAAGGATAACGAAGCAGATCACACAAAAGATTAGTAGGATGTTTGAAAACTTGGTAAACACTGCGGTCAAATTTAAATTTGAATATAATCACGTACACACTGATAACATCGTGATAACAGCTAATATTTTAAACGGTTTAAGAATTTATAGAGATATTTTATCCTTTTTTCCAAATTCTTCCATTTTGTGGGCCTCGCAATTGGAAATACACCATGCTGTAACATCTTTTTCTTTCTGAGTAAGACCTGATATTCATTGCCGCCGACGCCCCTCAACCACGCTGGTACGTTGTAGAGGATCCTCGTTGGATGGAGGTTGTTATTGCCCAATATGTCGATGTAGTCGTTTTGCCCGAAAAGTGCCCGTTTCTCGCTCCAAGCGTTCTTCGGGCGATATATCTGCAACGTATATACTCTCTCGTCGCTGTCGCGTGCCAAAAGACCTCTCATGTCTATAGGATCTTTGTATCCATATCGACGCATCACAGGTCCTTTCGCTACTTTGTCCGCATGATAGCGGTGCCTCACCGGTGTCACTTGCGGAATCCATATATTTGCAAACTTGTGTACGGACTTCACGAGCCAAGACATGCTGAGGACGTAAGAGCCGTATTAATGACAATGTTTAACAAACAAATATAAATACGTGGTAAAAACGTAGTAAAAACTGCACACACGACACGTAACGATAACAACATTACGAGGTTAGAAAATAGGCACACAGGTTACATTATTTACTAAGGTATGTATAAGTTATCGTTAAAATATTGTAATAATAAGTTTATCGCTTAAATATTACAGCCGAACTTACTCTTCCTCACTATGGCAAAATTAAGCAACGTTATTCAAACGATTACATTCAGTTGCACGAACATCAATACATCGTCTCGTGATTCTCTTCAATACCGGAAATGTTAGGTTAGATCAGGTAATTTGTGTTATCGACAGAGCTTCGGAAATCTGCTGGATTTCGCTCGAGTCCGAATCAGATTGCGTGTTGGAGATTGAGTTCGAATTCAATTTGACCAATCAGTGCAAAGTTAACTCGAGTTTAGGGAAATTTAGTGGACTTTGCACTGATTGGTCAGTTTCAATCTCTAATACGTAGTCTGATACGGACTTTCTGCCTTTTCCTGTGCGTTAGGCTTAAACTCATGCATTTAAACAAGACAAATTTGTTATGAGAGAGAAAAAAATGTATATGCACACATACACGTGAGTATGTGTGTGACAAAAATTCGAGCCATACATCTCGCGCATGTATAGTTTTATTATTTCACAGGAGAATAGAACGACTTTTAAATGGTACATGCGGTAGTTGTAACATGTTATAAACTATATGTACGGTCATTATGTGCAAAAACGTAATGTCAGATCGTATCTTTGTAATGTATATAGATTAGTTTTGATCCGATGCGTCACTAGCAGGTCTGTGGTCAAGTCTTAGCCATCAGTTGATGTACCGCCAATTGGACGCGCAGCTCCACACAAGCGTCCTTCTCCTCGATAATACTGCGTATCAGCGTCATCATCTTTTTCTACAATTTTCAAAAACAACGCATAAATACATTGATACAACGGTGGTGTGAGAGAAGAGGGGAGGAAATGGAGCTCTCATCGTACTTCGAGTAACTGATTCTCTTTGACTAGCTGTATCATGGCCGTCATTTCAGCCTCGTTAGGAGAGTGTATCCTTTCCTTGGGTCTCTTCTTTTCCACGCCACGCTCTGCGAGCATCTCCACCAGCCGTTTGATCTCGTTTCTCTCCTGGCTGATGCGAGACTTCAGCAACGCTTGCATATTCAACAGCTCCTCGCGGATCAAGCTCTCTCTCAGCTTATCTATAACGTCTTCCTCCTTGGGTTCTGCATGCGAAATGTTTTGCTCAACTTGTTTGAAATCACACACACACGCACACACACGTATATTGTTAATTACCATTATTGTCACGCACCGTTCGCTTTGTCATTAAGCGTTGCATCCTCGGGTTCTCTCGACTGCGGCGTGATCGCCGCCGTTTCCGCGGAATCGACCGTGTCTTTGTCCTGCACACTCACGCCCTGTTCGTTCTGCGCCGTGCTCGTTCCCGCCGCGTAGGTAGGTTTCTCCTTCGCCTCTTCCACGCCATGTTGCTTGCCGTCCTTCTTCGCCAGCGTCGAATTGGACGACGACGTTTGGGCGTCGTGTTTCGTCTGCGCGGGATCCTCGTCCGCGCTCTTCGACTTCTGCGAGGCGGACTCGACCGGGACACTCTCGGTCGACCTCACCTCCTCGTCCAGACTCTTCTGCGTAGTGGCGCCCTCCAGTTTCTGAACAGTCTTGTACTTCCTCTGCAAAAAGAAAAAGGGTGACGACGACGTCGCATTCGACGATCCTCCGTGTGCGATTTCACGGAAGTCTCGCGGTTTTACCTTCAACTGCGTTATCATCCGCTGCACCTCCCACAGTTGCTCCTCGCGCGACTTCGTTACGAAACCGGCGTTCATTTGCATATGAATCTGGGAAAGCAACGACTCCTGCTTGGACAATTCCGCAGCTATGCCCTCCACGGTGTCCGGTAGACTGGTGCTGCCGGACGACAGCGGGGGGACGTATTTCGTCAGTTGTACGTTCGGGAACAGTGCCTTGCAGTGAAATAGGAAAGCCAACAGCAACCGGTGACTCATTTGCAGCACCGGGCTCAAGGTCATCGATATCGTCTGCGCGTTCATCTTCGTCGTTTTCTCCTACGATCATCGAAAGATACCCGAAAGATACATCGAGATATCATCAACACGATAACATGTATTTGAAATTCTACTTGAAATATATGACGTATCAGGTTTATCATTGTCTCTTTAAATCCCACTTCAAGTGCATCGGGGGTCTGGACTCTTTTCTTTTTCTAAAGGAGGCTAAAAAGAGACTCTCCAAATAGGCGAAAAAACTGTGCCGAAGCCAACCAAGTGAGTTTAATCGACATTTCCTCAAAACTATACTTGATTTTCATCTTAGTCGATGTGAATATGAGACGAACTTTTAGCAATGGGACAATCTGACGATAATTAGAAACGTACCCGCGCGGTGACGTGATCCAAATGCAACGTGACCCACGCGAGAAGGACCCGGTTGCATTCCGGCAGCTGCTGCGCGAGCTGGGCCAATTGCGCTTCCCGTTGAGCGACGTCCTTGGTCGAGGCGGCCTGTTCGAAGCGCGATATCGTTTCGCTGCTCTCCAGCACGGGCTCTGGCAGCTCTCTACATCACCATAATGCCACTTTTTCGTTTCGATCTTAAAACACATGGGTTGTACGAGGTAGAATCTCTCGAGATACAAACCTAAGAAAGAGTATCAATAAGCTCGTAGCTACCGTGGGTTCGAACTCGGACATATTCACTGTCTCCCGATGGTTGTACAGCTTCTTCAGGTGCTGAACCTTCGACTTCACGCCGGGAACCTTGTACAGACCCTCCACGTTCATTCCGTGCTCCTCCACGTAGTCGATGCTATCTCGCACCACCAGGGGCAGTTCCACTCCGTCGTGACAGCAGCTCCTCTCGACCGCCAAGTGAAGACTGACGCCGAAGACCGGCTGCTCCTCTGAGAAAATGCACACACGTTGGACAAACCATCCGAATGAACGAACGAGACCAAACGCGTTATTTGAATTTCACCCAATCTCACCGCCGATATCCAAACCTTCGCCGCCGGCGTGCTTTCCTTTCTTCCGATCCTTCAATTTCTGCTTGGACTTCTCCTTATCCTTATCCTTCCGCTTCTCCTTGTCCATATCCTTCTCATCTTTGTCCCTCTTCTTTTTATCCTTTTCCTTCTCGGTGTCCTTGTCCTTGGCTTCTTTCTCTCGTGACTTCTCTCGCTTCTCTTTCTTAGAGGGGAACTTGAAAGCTTTGGTCTTCTTTGACTTTGAAGGACTTCTAGGTAACAGAAGAAATTATGAGTTACATATAAGTCAAATTAGATGACTGAAGAATTAAGAATACCTCAAAATTCTTAATACATCAATCGTTATGCTGTACATATATTATGAAGACTCTGATGATAAAATAAATGTTCACGGAACAAATTAGAATTAAGATAAGCAGCAGTATTAAGTCATAAGCATCTCTAACAAGTCTGTCTTCCATTTAAAACCCAGAAGTCTGGCTTGATTGTTCAAGTACGAAAGAGACCTTACACGCGATAAACCAACAAGAAACGTAGAGTGGCTGTGAATTGATGGCCATTTTAAATTATCAAGTACACGTTAACTGCTCAGAAATTAGTATAGTCTTGCTCGCACACATCTAATAGATATCTAATAAGACGTGCCAATTATATATGTGTGTTAAAACATTGTGTATTATTTGAGATAAGAAATAATAATTCAGGATAAATATACTACAACAGATTTACTTGGTTTCTTGATCCTCATCTGGTGAACTTTCACCCTCTAGAGTGGCATAGCCTCTGTCCTTCCTGTCCTTCTTGTCCTTGCGTTTTCCACCCAGAAGCTCCTTCTTGGAATGCTTGTCATGTCCGCCTTCGTCACTGACTGCAGCAGACACAAAGCATCATCGACATTGTCATTTCGTAGAGATTTTTAACACCACGACAACGCAGAGAGAGGTGAACGTCTCCGACTTTTTGACAGACGCATAACCTCCCTTCTCGCGTTATCGGCGCCCGTCATTCGGAAATCGAAACGCGACAATTGTTATTACGTACAATCACTCTCGTTGCTTTTCTTCGCCGACTCGGACGCATACAATCCGGGAAACTCCTTCTCGACGTCAGGACTCTCGAAGTCCATTCTCCCACGACGCACCTTAACGTTTTCTCGACTCTCGTCCGCCCGTCGACTCCTTGTTATTGCAGACGTGTTCTTTTTAGGCGCATTACCGCCGCCGCATTGAAAAGTCGTTTCTTTACCTTCAACGTTCGATTGTTATGTATACGTGTATGTCCGTGTATATTATACAGGAAACAAAATATAAAAGCAAGAAAAGTCACGGCAAGCCAAAAAAGATGGGCAAGAAGGAAATAACTTTGTCCTGTTCCGTTCTATCGCGGTCCCGGTGCAGCTAAAAAGAACAAACCTTTAGTGTACACACGTGTCGCGTGCGTGCTTTAGGGTTACCGTACGATCAGTTACTTTTTGTTAAAATAATTTCGTCAAACTAGACTGAAGTAGGAAAAATAATTGAGTTTCATCGTACTCTTTGAACAATGGCGGTAAATATTGGATTTTGGATACATTTTAACATATAAAAATCACTATCAATATCGAACAATATTTAACCTCTTAAATATTCAGTCTAATCTGTACACATTTAATGTGTAGAAAAATTACACAGTAAATAAAAATAATTGTATCACTCGTGATTTAAGTAAATTTTTTATATATGATTGTTTATTTTGCAGAAATTAAGGAAACCGAAGATCAGTAAAGTTAAAAGAAACAATCATATGAAGACCAAACTATCGAAGCAAGGAAAACTGAAGAGTAAACGTCACACACCAAAGAAGCAATCTCAGAAACCACCAGCATCACATCCGGAACCAGTGGAACAGGAAGAGAGTGATCACGGAGAAGATTTACTGGATATGGTTGAAGAAGACGACCTGACATTTTTACGGAAATCAATATCCAACAAGTCTTATAATCTACTGAATGAAATTCATCTAAATAGGTAAACGATTGCGTCTGGCAAAAATTCTCTGTGTATGTTTACCTTATGTTTTGTTGTTTTTAGGTCTGGTAAGGAACAAAGTGGAAGAAAAAGGAAGAAGACTGAAAATAGCCAACCGATAGAAGAATTATTCGAGAATAATATTTCCAAAATCGAGAAAGACGATGCTGGAAAGTCGGTTCGAATGTTGCTACCTGTAAAGACAAAGAATGGACTCATAGAGAGTCGTATTGTCGAAGAAGAAAATGAGGCAAATGAGGATAACGAAGATAATGAGATTACGAGTAACAATGAGGAAGAGAGCAGAGAGAGTGATAAAGAGGGCAACAGTGACATGGAAATGGAGATAAACGAACATGTAAGACTGAAATCAATAATCCAATATTCGATAGATCTTCTGTCACGTGGAGTATCTTACCTCATTTATGAACAAATTTCAGGATAACCTGGAAGTAACGAATAAACCGGTATCCACTGTTAAACTGCTGGCGTGTCGTGAGGAGCTACTGAAGTCGAAACGTTTCAAGATAGGTGTGCTCTCAAGCGGCATCTTGGAAGATCCAGAGCGTAAAATCGGCAATTTCAAGATGCTGTTGGATTTCATGGACGAGAGAAGTCCAGAGATTCACATCACTGTGAGAAAACTGGCGATGGTATCTCTCTTGGAAATATTCAAAGATGTGCTGCCATCCTATAACATCCTACAAATTCCTCAGGAGGGAGTCAAGTGTACGTACATGCATTTACGGAAGAGCAATGAAGCGGCAATAATCATTTTCCCGATCGATATCTGATTCTAGTCAAGAAGGAGACTCTCGCTCTACAGAATTACGAGGCCACGTTGTTAAGAAATTACAAGAGCTATCTGCAGAGACTCGAGAGGATGTCGAAGGTCCTGAGAAGGAGGAGAGGGGACACGCGACCGGTGAACGAACGGGAAGCGCAGCTGGGAGAGATATCCTTGTCTTGCATGTGCGAGCTTCTCTCTGTCCATCCGTACTTCAACTTCTCCATTAACATAGCGAACTACGTCCTCCCCTTCTTGGACAACAAACGCAGTAGCGTGCGAGAAAGAGTGGTGCAGTGCATCTCTCAGATATTCAAGGAGGATAAGCGCGGCGAACTGTCTCTCACAGTGAGTAAACATGTCCCTCTCCCAGATTACTCTGAAACTTATTGCGGCACGGACGATGACATCGCGATGTTAGAAACGTTTCTCACATTGCTCGATACGTACAGCAATGTGAGAAACGTTTCTAACATCGCGATGTCATCGTCCGTGTTAAGTTGTGTGTGCTGGAAAATGGTGCGTTGGGAAAATTTCAGATAGTCCGGAAATTGAATCAATACATCAAGGCTAAGAGACACTCGGTCTACCCTGAAGTAATAACGGTGTTGCTGTCCCTTCGCATAAAAGACGTGAATCTGGACAAGGAGAAGGAAGAGGAGACGAAGCAAAGAAAGCTCATGTCTCACAAACAAAGGATCCTCGCGTTGAGCAGACGGGAGAGGAAGAAGGGCAAGAAGCTGCAGGAGGTGGAGAAGGAGTTGCTCGAGACGAAGGCCGAGGAGAACAAGCAGGCGAAACAGAAGATGCTCACGGAAATAACGAGCGTGGTGTTCACGATATATTTCAGGATCTTGAAACAAGCCCCCAGTGGCAAAGTATTGTCCGCATGCTTGGAAGGATTGGCCAAGTAAGATCGCCGACACACGCATCATTCGCCCCACTTGTACTCGTCAAGCTTACACGTCGTTTCGCATCTCGCCAAATTCCAGATTCGCCCACTGCATCAATATAGATTTCTATCAGGACTTAGTGGGCGCTATAGATAGATTAATAGAAGAGGGTAACCTGGGATTGAGGGAACAACTACATTGTGTTCAATGTATATTTACAATCTTATCTGGTCAAGGTACAGCGCTGAATATCGACCCGTGTAGGTCTGTATATAACGGCCGGCGATGCTGCTCTGTGTATCTTTATATATGTAAATCGTATATTTATGTATACATATGTATATGTATATATATATATATATATATATATATGTACGTAGAAGAAAGAAAAATTAAATTGCCTCTTGTAATTCTCTGCCCGTAGGTTTTACGCGCATCTGTATAAAAATTTGTTGAACGTCCACTGCGGGCGAACGCACGCGGAAAGTGAGATTGTACTGAAGACGTTGATACAAATTCTCATTCATCAGAGGAGGAAGATCACGCAGGCCCGCGTGGTGGCCTTCGTGAAGAGGATAAGCACGTGGGCCCTACAGTCGCAGCACAACGCGACGCTGGGGACACTCGGTGTCGTCAAACAAGTCATGCAACTCGGGAAAGCGGCGCACGGCCTACTGGACACCGAATGCACCGGAGACGGTCAATATCAGCCCGAGATCTTCGAGCCCGACTATTGCAACGCGCACTGCACCGCGCTCTGGGAAATAGTTGCGTTACAGGTACACATCTTATTCGAACGTGCTCGACTTGCTTCTTGCGCTGCTTCTCCTTCTCTGTTCGCCACACCATACGTAATCGAAAGAGATAATAAAATAATACACAATACTCTTATACAGCGTCACTATCACAGTGTGGTACAACAATTCGCTAAGAATATAGCATACGAGGTACCTACGAGTGGTGAGGGTAGTCTGCCTACCGAGATTGCAAAACTGTAAGTACCAATTCTTGCTTGGTGATTCAATTCGCACAATTATAGAAAAAAAAAATCTTATCTCGTTATTTTCTCACTTTATTACAATCATTGCGAAGAGAGATAGCTGGATTAGGTTTCTCTCCTCTTTCGCGCATTCTACATCGTTTCGTTACTTATATCCGGTCGATTTTAGAGCACCGGACGAACTTTACACGAATTACGACCCTGCGGGTGTAGCATTTAAACCTAGCGTACCTGTGCCCAACAGGAAAACGGTCAAGAAAGCATCGATAAATAATAGTAGTACGAGCAGTAACTTAGACCAATATCTCAATGCCGTTAACGTTGAAGATCTGTTTGTAGGCGAACATGTAGACTTTTACAAAGCCTATAAAAGTAATTTGTAAAATGTTATAAAAGATGGAATATATATATATATATTTTTTTTTTGTGTTGTGTGAATATATATATATATATATATATATATATATATATATGTTTATATATAAAAATAAAGGAATGTTTCTTTTCTCCCATACGGCCAATAAATTCTGCAACAGTACTTATAACAAAAGAGGATGATCAAAGATGTTATACAATACAGAATCGATATTTCACATATTCTGCGTATATTTCTTTTTTCGCAACCGTTTGATTTTTCCTCGCCACTTATCATCATCACCATCATCCCAGAGAATCACCTCTATTTTGTTATAAAATATATCAACTATCTGATATCTATATTTATCGACGAGAAAACTTGAATCTCCGATGATTATTATTCAATCAGTGTCAATTAATGCGCGGAGGTTCGGCCGATAATATAGATACCGTTGAGACAATGTTCTTTTTTGTTTTTTTAACGATCCATATTCGAAATATGACAATTTACTCTCTCTCATGTACAATCGACTTGAAAATTACTACATTCGAAAATTAGAGCAAACGTCACGTAACGTTTCGTAATATCTATATCTTATATTTCGTTTGTCTATCTAGCTTTCGTGAAGCGTGATGTCAATGATATAACGTAATAATACAATAATATAATAATAACTATATATTCTTAAATAAGTCTTTCGCATGATAAATTTAATGATATCCTCATGTACATCATTCACATTATTCGTATCTCACTTGAATAGTATAGTTCATAATAGATCTTTACTTGAATAAATTTTAAGTCATGAGTGTGTGTGTGTATGTATATATATCGTGATTTTTGCTTCTGCTCTCTCTCGCGCGATTCTCTCTCTCTCTCTCTCTCTCTCTCTCTCTCTCTCTCTTTCTTTCTTTCTTTCTTTCTTTCTTTCTTTCTTTCTTTCTTTCTTTCTCTCTCTCTCTCACTCCCTCTCTCGCTCTCCTATAATGCTATGTCAATACAAGAGTCCGTAATATTATAAATCACTTGTTTTCAAGCTGCACACTTTCGTGTACAGTGCTCTTACTCAACTAATGTCTTTAAACAAATGTGAATGTCCGCTATGCATGAGAATAAAATGGAACAGTACATGTCGTTGTAAATAAAAACATTATTGGCTTCCTATTCTAAGAAACGCGCACATAACCGAAACCTCTCGCTGACAAAATGATGTGTGCTTGGAGTAATTCTTCTGTTTCCGTCGGAATTCTAACAGAATATGCATATGAAGAATTTCTAGTTAAAGTTATATGCCACGGCACACGTACGTACGAAAAATATGTAATTTACAAAAGATTCTGCGGTGTTCAATTTTGCATGTTAACAATTAATACAGAACCAAATTAAAAGCCACCCATACTTGCGCATATACACGATTATTTCTCGCGTATGTTTGCAGGAATTATTTTCAACACGTAAAGCATAAAGGAATTTTTATATAAAAGATACACACACACTGAGGAAATTTTCTTAAGTCAGAAATTATGTGACAATTTGCAGATAAAAATGTACATGATTCAATGTAAAAATCTAAGACAAACATCATCTACCTCTCTTGAACAGTCATTATATATCTCTATTATAATTATGTAAAAATATAAAAAAATAAAATATTCTACGAGTGAAGGATATGAAGACAATTTGCTCCGAAGTCATATAATGTATATTTTTTTTTGTTTTATGGCTATATAAAGCATCATATAATTATTGCCAATTTCCTTTGTACTTAACATGTATATGCATGTATTGCATATTAAGTGCAAAGTAAATATATATATGTATATATACGTTTAGACCTGATCTCTTTTTCAAAACGTCCAGAAAAAAAGTTCGAGTATAAAGGTAATAATAAAAGAAAAAAAAGTCGCTGATTCCGATCGCAGTCAGAATGTACAATTAAAAACCACTAATGACTTGAAAATCATAAGTGCGTCATGAAAAATGAACGAACTGTCTCTCGTTTCGCGATTATTACATATATAATACAAACCAATATGCGATGCGTACTTGTTGAAGCGGTTAAAAGAACAATTGCGAAGAATAGGAAGCCAAGCGGTAATGCTTATGTAAAACGGTAGTATTATTTTATTATCTTTATACTCATCTAAAGCCATAAACTTAATTTCACCATAATTTAGAGTTTCACTCGCACACACATTCAAGCATTTGGCAGGCAAGAGCCCAGAAGAATCTAATTCAGAGAGAGCAGTATCACTACGAAGTCATCATGTCACTGACAGAATTTGCAGATACATTAGGTCCTTTTAGGGCATCGTTTATGTCTCTTCTAAACATTGATAAATTTTGTGTAAACCTGCAAAGAGAACGAGATCATCAATGACAATACCGTTGCGAAACCGTCGTTAACAGCCACAGCCTCCACAACTTCTTACCTATCTCTATTTTTTGTGAGTAGATTCCTCTCAATCCCGTTCATTAAATTCTCGAACCATTGTGCCATTGCTGCCTGCTTGTCAACCGGCTGGCTTCTAATAATACTTTCCCTTAATTGATTAAAATACTACAAACAAATGAAAGAGGAGTATTAACAGAGGGGAACGTTGAAACACGACGGAAGAGAAACGTCGTCTCAAAAGTCGTGATGTTGCTTATTTTAACTCGCTACGCTCTATAAGAAAATTGTGACATCATCATGATAGAATGCGTCTCCAACATAGTGAAATTGCAAGCTTACTTCTTCGTTCAACAATATGAGACCTAAGAGAGGGCGAGACATGCTCCATTGACTCCTACAATCCTCAAACATTATCACATTTAAAACAGTACTTAGGATTTGTTGTAGTATTTCCGGATGCTGCTTCAAAACTTCTAAGAATAAATCTCCTCCTCCGGGAACAACGGCGTTTTTCCTTCCTGGATAACCTGGATAACACACAGAAACATGATGTCTCGATACGATGCATGCGTCTGCCCGCCGAGATTTCTTTATGCGAGCGCATTCACACCTTACCTTTCTGATAGAGCTGTTTAAACAGATACGTCACGATGTGATCGAGAGTTGCGCAGCAACCCGTGCAGACCATAGTGTCTGAAATCAGAAGGTGCTTGCTTTTACATCGGCCGCGCGAGAAACAACGGACGAATAATACACGATAATAATGTCTCACTGCGCAATCAAAAATACATGCAACCAAAGTGCGGCATTTCTTTCGCAAGCTTACTAAGATCCACCTACCTTCCTTCGCGTGTCATTAACGTTTTTTTCGCGAACTTGCGTGGTTAACGAGATAACAAAGGATACTCTCTACACACGAGTTTGTACATTGAGAATGCAAGATTTTTACACGATCATCGATTACACAATTCTGTACTGCGTAGTCATTACACTAAACAATATAGAACTTTGCATTTTACTATTTATATAGGGGGCTACATTGCGGCGGTTATTATCCAAAACTAATACTGTAATGAAACATGCAACTGTTCGATTAGTAAAATTAGTATAAATTACAAAATACAATCTAGTAAAAATAGTGTTAAAGTATTTAGTAGTATGCCAGCTGTGCGGCTGATTGTCTGTGCTAGACCCATTATTCGATTTCGTTCTAATGGAAATGGAAAAAAAAAAGTCACGCAACACTCATGGTGCATGTCGTACAAAAGGGAGTATACAAGCTATGCGATTGCCGAAATTTATCGTATTCAGGGTCCAGATTCCACGCACTCCAATCCTCTTATAGCCAATGTTATTTGATAAGGTGTTCTCAGTGGTTGTTCTTTATTGTGCATAATAAAGTACTCGAGATACATATATATATATAAATATGCATCTGTTCCTTGTATTCCGAACTGTTGCAACTGTGGCTAATGTCTATAGGCAGATTTACATTCCAAGCGATAATGCAAAAAGCAAGAAATATTAAAACATGTAGTTCCAAGGTGATATCATGTAAAAACAAAATCGTTAAGATCTTAAGTAAACGGTGTTCACAGGCGGTGAACGATCGACGCACATCGACAAATTTCTGCGTGTGTATGCGACACACAGGAAATACGTCCGAATCGTAATTCCGGATGTAAGATTCTATTTCAAAGATTCGCAATGAAACTCTTGCTCTTCTTTAGAACTCTCTAACAGCTAATATAATGTGAAACGTATCCCGTATTTGAGCCAATGGCTTTCTCGACAAACGGACTTCAAGCAAAATAAATGATCAACGTACAAAATTATTTGAAGATCACACGATTAACAGATGATATTCATTGCCATAATCTCTTTTCTTTGCGCGATACACAATCTACATAATCTATGCAAGAGAAGTTCAAAGTATCGAAGTGAAGAATTGAGAGAGAGAGAGAAAGAGAGAGAGAGAGAGAGGGAACTTCCGTTACAAAATGTCCGAACTCGCAGGAATCGCCTGGTTCAAAGTGATCTCAGTCTCGTGGTGGCGGTGTGTATGGCGTCGAGGATATAGAGAGTAGTAGTAGAATAGAATCAGCCGCACAGACCTGTGTAGGAGTCTTTTTGCGCACCTAGAGCTGTAAGGCCTTCGCTGATGCTGGAGAGGATGTACAAAAAAACCCGAGGTTCCAAAGTGGATAAAAAGACCATGTGATCTTGCGCCAGACACTCAAGCAACATGTAATACGTTGCCGACAGCTTCGGGTAATCCTATCAAAGGCAATATGTAAATGTAAACATATGGACGGACGGAGTGTGGACAATCTGCAAAACTTATCGCGTTACGTTACAACCCACATGCGTCGTATCACACTCGGTTCCCGGTTTCGAGATGAACGGTTTTCGACCTGACTTTTCGAGGGTGATTTACGAAGCTTCTTGCTACTACGTTCACGCGATGACACGACCGCCGACACTCACCAGAAGATCGCTCTGTGGAATACTAAGAAGCAACTTGACGAATGTGTTGAGGGCGTTGTCCAACGCCTCGTCGCCGTATAGCCTGAAGACCCCGAAGTTCACGTAGGAGCCGCACAAGGCCGCCTTCAGCATGCTGAAGCATATACTTATTCCCTTGAGTTTCAGGGGGTAGATCTGATCCTTGGGCACCTCGACGTTCAGTATATGATTGCCGTAGCTGCATATCACTTTGCTGGCCTCGCGGAACAACAGGATCCCGTTCGGGGAGGATGCGTCGAATTGCAGCCGTTGACTCCTATTTTGTACTAACTCAGCGAATAATTTTAGGACGGGCGTTGTCACCTGCGGCTCGTGATGCCACAGCTCCACGGCGTGTAATAAAATCGGCGTGTAATTCGGATATCTAATTCGGAATTCAGGGAAGATATCGTACAAGGAACTCGACTGAGGTATCGAGAACATACGAATAGCCGTGTCGTGACGTCAATCGCGACATGTACGGGGGGAAATGCGCGGATGTACGGTCAGATACACAGAAAAGGATACATCCAATCGAAAAGCATCATGTAGGATATCTTGGTGTTGAACGCGTAAGCTAAGCCTCGTAGATCTCTCGCTAGACCGATTAACGCCTTCTTCGCTTCCTCCGCTGCGAAAAGCGGTGTGTCCGCAGCGCCCATTAATTGACCGAGACTTTCCAACGCACCTGCGGAATTGCATCGGGATCAATTGCACACGCTCGCTCGGGCGAATCACACTTATCGTGCTCTTTATCGGGAGTGAGGGAGGGGAAATCGGTTGGATTCTCCTACCTGTTAGAGGCAACATAAAGGTGTGGAATCTCTCTTCGTCCTCGCCTAAATCTACCATCAGTAATCTACCGAGGGACGTGTAGAACATCGATCTACAGCGCATTTCCGTCACAGCAACGTTGTTCCCCAAAAACGGGAAGTGTTCTCGCTGGACGAGAGAGAGGGAGAGAGAGAGAGAGAGAGAGATAGATAGATATGAGGCGTTAGATTAATGCAACTCGGTTATCAACACATCATTAACTATTAATTACTACCGACACGATAGGATTTTTCTATACGTACCGTGTGATTGTTGAGCATAAATTGTACTTCTTCTAATTTCACGAGCTTACGAACGCAGCTGTAACCCACGGACAAATCATTCAGAAGTTGCAACGTTTTCGAGATAATTTGTTCGCTCCTACCCCAGTATTTCAGGTTTGTTATTCTGCAAATTGCGACGCAACGTTACATACTGGGTGTTACACCGAATCTCTCTCTCTCGCGACATTCGAGGCATCCTTCGAACTCACATCTTTCGGATGAAAATGCTGAGGACCATCGCCTCGTCGTTGAGACCCAACACGTCCGACAGCCTCCTGTACACTTTCGAGTTCTTTTGAACCTGATCGCCCACGTAAATCTTCCGAAATTGCTCAAAGAAGCTCAGCATCGCTAATTCCAATTTTTCACAGCCACCTTGCGCGAGCCTGGAGTCCGTTAGATTCATCAGCTGCAGGACTCGGCAGACCAACTCGCCGTCCATAGCGTCGAACTCCTCGTTGCTGTTAAACGCAACCCTACCGCCGATCACACCGCCTACGAGAGAGAACGCTTACATCCACGTTGATATTAATATGATCGGTGATATCGATGTGACAAAGCGCGGGGCTGATTTCATTACCTATAATATACACAAGCCACGTGAGCTGACCCTCCTGAATCGCAATGTCAATCTGCTGAGTGGGAGTCGCCGTTTGCGTCAGTAACTCTTGATACGTCGTCGCCGCCTGATCGAACAGTTGAACTAACAAAGTGCACGTTTTCTGATACTCGCATCTACCGATGACCGAGATCTGTTCCAGCTGATGGTGGACCACACCAAGATCGTCCAGGGGATCCTCGAGGTGTTCTCTGACTACCACCGCCACCGACTCGAGTCTCGACGTGATATACGCGTTCGCCACCTCGGGAGTGTACGTGTTCAGCAGATGCGGGTCGTTCGCCTTCACGTAAGGCATCGAAGAGACCATCCTCTGCCAAAGGGTCAACAGGTAGTGCAGACTGTTCGGCGCGAATTGCCACATCTGCAAGCTCTGCACCGTAAACTTGGCGATCAACTGTATCGCCTCGGGGTAATCCTCCACTATTACAAGCTCGCCCAGTTGGAAGTTGCTCTTCAGTCGGGATAATAATCTACAAAACTCGTGATAGTTGCCCGGATCACTGAGACCCTGAGGATTTTGCAATATATGTTTGACACCGTTGACCAGGTGCGTGAGGAATTTCGCTCTCTCGGTATTGGAGAATAGACTTCTTCTGACGGAAGCTATTTGCACCAAGCACGAGAGCGCTAAACACGATAACGTATTAGGTAGACTGTGATACAGGTCGAAGAACAGCTTCAACGAGGTGAAGTCCAGAAATGCGGGTCTCCAACTGGTCGGGATTTGTACTGTGTTGAGATCGTCCGAGCTCTCGTCGGTCGATGTGCCAATGAAGTCGAATGTCAGACAATTTTGTGCAAGCTTCAATAGTTGTCTTATCAAACCATGCTGCAAGAAGCAACGAGTACGGGCGTAAAATTCATGCTTTCCGATTAATATCTAATATATATTTTATATCTTACATATATATATATATATGTGTATAACAATAGTCATGTATATTGCAAATATAACGTTAATCATCATACCTGTGCTTCATCATTGAAATTCAAACTTTTGCAATTTTCACGAGCTGTACTCAGCAAAGTACACGATAACCTAAATATCTCAAACAGTTGCGTGTCTCTAAAACTACTTGCTATTTTTCTATGCTTTGTCAGAGATCTGTTTGCATCTGCTTCTGATATTTGATTCATCTCGCATGTCAACTGGGAAAGCAACTGCACTCCTATCATACAATGCTCCACCGACCCCTGATTGTTACAACAAATGTGTTATTCGTGAGACAGTACCTGCGTGTAAACTCGCAGCACACATATATAGTATGCATAAAAGGTAACATCAATTAAAGTAACGCAACATTAATTCGATATATTAAATGAAGTATGTGCGTGTGTCGAACCTGAAGGAATTTGGCTACATCACTGACTACATTTCTGAAGACGTACTCATCTTTAGCAGAATCGAACCACCCAAGCTTTGATATCCTAGCAAAAAGTGTAACCAAAGCCTGTATCACAAAATTCGGTAACTTTGGTTGTGTTGCTAAGTAGTTGAGTACGTAATTTCCTGCAAATACAATATGTGTTTTACTGATGACGATGCGTAAAATGGCATAGAGAAACAAAGGGGCTGTTATACAATTCTCAAGACGAGGTGAGAATTACAAAGGTGAGCTAATTCACCAAGTGTTGACCGATGAGATTATAAATATATCAAACAAATTCGCATTGTTGTCAAGAGTACTAATCGCTGTTATATTGACAAACATTTACTGTTCCAGCAACATTTGTTTTCTCCGTGCACTTTTGTAACTTTCACCTTAGCCCGTATTTCTGAGCTCTCTTTCATCGATGAAAGTGCCTTGGATATGGCTCTGCTCAGCCGATCAGGTATTTCCTGAGTTACTTTTAAAGGCACTTTTATGTATAAAGATAAGAGAGTTAAGAATATGAGTCTTTAGAACCGTAATAGTCCTTCAGATGTGACTGCTGGCAAAATCAACATTCGCTCACGTATATCCAGCCTCTGTTGCATGCTCAGTCCTTGCGCCGAACGTGATATCAGTTTCGTCAGAGTCGTGGCAGCTAATAATTGAGCATACGCCGAATCCCCGCGGTCCAGGAGCAGCTGGCACTTTGTAAGCGTATCCGGAGCATTTTGAAATGCTACAAGGGCCTTCTCCGCCTCAGCACGATGCGCAGAATCTTGCGACTCGTACAACTGTTTGCATAGCAACTCCAGCTGCCGTACCTCCTGTATGTGATCCATTCTTAATGGCACTGTTTAAAGTTGTTTCTTAATACTTCCATTTAGGTGCGAGACAAGTCTAAAAGTTTCATCATTATATACTTCTTTCTTTTTTTTTTTCACTTCTTCAGGAATCTTTATTTAACGACCTCCTACGTTAAACGTCCGACAGATTTCTTTACAATTTTACAATACAGTAACATAACGCTTGCGGCGCGGAGCCTCGGCCTCAAGCCACGAGCGCATTTAAGTGGTGCCAAGAGAGAGAGATACCTGAAGACGCACACATACACACACACACACACACAATTTCACTTTGCTTTTCTTATGATAAGTATAACAATTTCTGTCTCCCTCAATTTGCGTTCGATCGTTACATAGGTAATGTCTTATTAACACAATCAACAGACACTGCGTGCAACACAACACGCATGAGACAAACAGATAATTGCGCGGTTGTGACGCGAAGAGAAACAGCCCGGGCGACGGGCGGGCAGCAGCACGCAATAAAAAGTCACCGGGGAGCTACTACGAAGGGGATGTGTATGTGTGTGAGAATGACTACGATGACAATCATCGGGGGAGGATGGCTGCGTGTTCAAGTAAATATCAAAGGGGCTGTGTTTGCACACGGTTTCTCTTCTAAAATTGATAATTCTTACAAAACATCCGTACGCTCTGCACACATCACACAGCGGCGGCCGCAACGGTAAAACCGTCGTCGTCGCGGGAGGCGACCTCGACGTCTCACGGCGGATGCCGCATCCGACGACACACGTGCGCGTTCTCTCGATTTGCAGAGAGAGAGAGAGAGAGAGAGAGGGAGAAAAAAACCAGGAGAGTAAGTATCGCCGACACAGGTAGCCCGACGGTTACTTCCTATATCGTCCGGCGAGGAGTTTCGGACACGTGCCCGGTTGACACGTAGGGAATTGGCGGAGCGCGTCCGCGCGGGAGGTTTAGGTTATGCGCGCGACCGACAGTTTGTAAATAACGGTGCGTAGTCGCATGAATGGCGATCCCGTCGCGCAAACAATGAGGATTGCGCGCGCGGCGGGGGGCTCCTTTCGGCCGGAGACGAACGCACCTCCGGTCTCGCCTTTGTCCGGTCGTCCTCAAGCCGACGAATACCGAGCACAGTGAACCGGGCTCTACCCCGGGTAGAGAGAGAGAGCTCTCGGGCGCGAAACTCGTCGAGATAAACAACGATGTGGGCTGACGCGCTCTCTTCCTCTCGAGGGACCGAGAGAGTGAGCGAGCGAGCTAGCTAGCGAGCGAATGAGCGAGAGAGAGAGAGAGAGAGACGGAGGGAGGAAGAGAGAAAGAACGAACGAATGAGCGCGAGAGAGAGAGACAGAAAGAGCGAGTGGAGTTCACACGACGCAATCGTGCGAGTCGGTACTTACTCGCTCGCACACGGCGTAGTTATCGCGCGCGCCGGGCGGATTGAACGCGCTTATCACATAAAAATCGTCCAAAACGCGCTATCTCGGCCGAGCGCGGACGCGAGCGGGACTCGCGTCTACGCGTGCACGACCGCCCCGCAGATCAGATGATCCTGGGCGGCGCGAACGGTCGTCGAAGGTCCAACCAGTCGTGTCGGAGCGACACGGCGGACCACCGTTTATTTCCCGGACGTGGAACCGGACGACGCGGGGGCGCGTAACCGCGAAGATCTCACGGTCCGATCTCGCGCGCGCGATACCTCCGGCGATATCTCGACGCGTACGGCGCGAGAGATACGAACGAGCGAAGGAGATGCCGCCGCCGAGGAAGAGGGAGAAAGAGAGAGAGAGAGCCGACAGTTTTTCTCTCACGGTCGCGGCGTTTCTCCCTCAGAGAGTCGTTCGGTTGTCGTCCGTTGCGCGGACGCGCGCGCGCGCGGCGGCCAACTACGGGGACACGCACTGACTGTCGTCCCACCAGGTCCCCGGCTACCCAGGTCTCGCTAATTCGCCCTAAGTGTCACGGTGCAACACTAACCATCGTCGTCATCATCATCATCATCATCACCACCATCATCATCATCATCACCACCACCAAGCAAACGCACGCACGCACACACACACGTGGCGCGTCTCGACACACGTTTTCCGCGGGATTCCGGCGCGTATCTCTCGCCGGCGGATTTTCCGCCGCCCCGGTCGCCCCGTCGCGCCAGTGGACACGCGCGGCGCGGCGTTTCGCGACGGTACGCGCGTTATTTTGATCGGCGACTCACCTGTTCCTCCGCCATTTTCACAAGTTCGTATTATCTACAATGAAGCCAGGATCACATGCCAATCTCGTCTGCCGCCGGCGCATGTTTGCCCCGACGATCTTGCCCGACGCGGGCCCCCTTCGGCCGCCGCGCTCCCGGCGCGCCATCTTCCATCCGCCGGGCGAAACGCTCGCATGGAAACGCACCCTGCAAGAAACAAGTCGGTCTGACATCTTCCTTCCTTTATTTACACTTCTATATACATATATATATAGTACAGGGTGTCTAGTATCTGGGAAAATCTGGGATTCTCGGGGAATTTATTCATGCCTAAAATAATCAGGAAATTCTCAGGGAATTTTATTTGAAATCGGGGAACTTTAAATAGACATTTTCGCCCGCCAGCCGTATCCGCGTTGATTACAGATATTGTGTGATTGACCGAATCTGATTTATTAATATTTTTTTCATTAAGAAACATAGAAAAAAATAGTTCCGAATTTTTCGACTTGACTTCTTAATCGATTTTAATTTTAATTAATAACGCTATATAAATTATAGACGCGGACTTATTAACATTCCGCATATATTTGAATTTAAAATTGCTTTTAAGGTTTTGTGTAATATTTAAATATTAGCACTTCTTTTATGTTTATAATAGATTTTCCTTTGTTTTATATTTACGCATGTAACTTAAATGTTTAATTATATTGCTCCGATGTTAGAACACAGTGACAAGACTAATCCGACATTCAGTATTGAAAACGATTTCGTGTTAGGGTCAGTTTTATTTAAGAGAGATGTTTGTATTTTAATAAATTTATAAAAGTTGCATTTTGTATGCATTGCATATTTTTTTTGTTAGTAACTTTTGAAGGTAAAATTTTAAAGTTTCATGCGAAATATTTATTTTTTAAAGCCTAGTTTCTTTCAAAGTTTTTCAAATTTAATCATTAAAACTCGAGTGATTCTTAATTTTATGATCTATAAACCTTTATGAATGGAAAATATTAAGGAGTTTACATAATAAATATATATTCGTTTGCAAGATACATTAAAAAATTTACTTTCACTTGGAATTTTTAACAAATTGTTTGGAAAATCAGGGAATTCTCAGGGAATATTTTCTTTTCAAGCATGAGTAGACACCCTGTATGTGCAAGAAATATATATATATATAAAACATTTTATAATATATCCTGCCAATTTTTACCTGCCAAATAAGTATAAACGATCAGTGTAAACAAATTCTGTCTGATAACATTTTCGTATGCGTATACCGACATATGTTACGCTGTAATTGATCCAAGTACACCTTAAAATTTGGCTGTGAGAGGAGAGAGAGAATTAGTAAAGGAAATTATCTCCCAAGTGGATACTTTTTGTTAATTAAGGTCGTTAATAAGTCATGTATAACTTCACGTCAATTCACCTATTAAATATTTGCTATTTAACGTGGCAAAGCTCATTTAACTTATAAATATCGTATATAGGAGGATAACAATGGATTTTATCCATAAAACATCCCTTGCATTCTTGTGTAGGTATTATATTTCGAATATAGCTTTTGCACAGCCTTTGTATCCTCTCTATTCAGTTACTCCCATACACAAAGATTCATGCCGGTATTAACAATAAAGCATCACAATGTCCTCTTACAAATATTTCAGCGACACTCTCTCGACAATTGCAAATGTCCACGTCGCGATCAAATCGCACATCTTATGATACGAAGACCTCTTTAAAAGTATGAATTTCCATTTCTTTTGTGCTACCATTTTACATCTTGTACCATACATACATACGTGTATATATGTGTGTATGTATGGTTACACGTTTCATAATATTCCAGATTTCTATGTATGCGTGTCTGAAATCTCTCTCTCTCTCTCTCTCTCTCTCTCTCTCTCTCTCTCTCTCTTTCTTTCTATTGTATTCGGGAAGAAATAATTTTCGGGTGAATTTTCCTATACAAGATCCAAGACGGAGAGAAGATTCTTAAACGAAATCCTTCGGTTACCGATGTCCCGAACGAAAAAAATGTTTCCATATCCCAATAAGGAATATAGGACGCAGTGAACGATCGTTTTCTCTTTTATACATATATATATATATATATATATGTATGTATGTATGTATGTATGTATATCGATAATACCTACATTCGCGTATTCATAGATAATGGAAGGACGATGGAGAATACGCTCGTAAAGAGTATGTTAATGCTTGGCTACGCTCACTGTTATATGCTATTATTTTATCTACTCACTTTGAAATAAGTCACAAACTCAAGGACTACTACGTATGCTGTACTCTACCAAAGTAGCTTCGCACACTGTGATACCCCGTGTGTGTGCGTGTGCGCGCGCGCGTGTGTGTGTGTATATATATGTACATATACGTACCTTAAAATTATACAAAATTCCCATTCTCGATCGCACTATTTCTCGAAATCACAATGTTTGTACGTTTCCGTGCAACTCGTACGTAATTTCTAACATTTTCTTTTACCCCTCGCGCTTTAATAATCCTGCTTAAAACGTTGTCGAAACGCGTTCTTACGGCGCAAATAAATATTCGCCATAATTATCATTTCTTTCTTTCTTTCTTTCTTTCTTTCTTCTTCTTAATTGTGCATTATATAAGAGAGTAAACAAATTTCACGTATTCTAAATGTCAGAGTTTAGAATACAGTCTTACTGTCTCAATGTGTACCATTGTGTAAATAGCATTCTATATATTTGCTCGTACAAAAAACTTGAAAATTAATCGTCTCGCATACATGTACGGAAATCAACATCGAAAAATCACACACACATATATATATATATATATGTGCATGAACTCTTCCTGCACCGAGTATCTTATCGTAGGGCTGAAACGCTCGAGTCGTCGTGAAAAGTTGCGTCTTGCGAAATGTGTATTATTATTATTATTATTATTATTATTTACCGTGACAATTCGTTCTGCATAAATCCATTATATTTATTTGACAGATGGTTTATAAGCGATTATATTAGATCGTACCCTTTACTGACCGTCATCAACGAAACGCATATTCGGAATATAATTCGAAATTTCACTCTTCTCGTAATTAGAAAATTGTGAAGGTGTCCACTGAGACATAGAGTTCGTTCGTTCGTTCGTTCGTTTCGTTTTTACGCATAGTACTTCTCTCGCAACTGAATTCGTTATTAAATAACCAATAAAAGTATCCTGAGGTATCGCGTGATGTCACATCGGAAATTCCGACGGCGTTGCTTCGCAGTTTAGCGTTTTAGTAATACAACGGCGTCCGCACGGAGCACAAACTACTCCTTAAATGTCACAACCATTTAGGACGCATCACACCGATGCCGTTCGATTCCCACGTAATTGAACTATGTTCTTAAACATTCGATTATGTACACAAGTATAGATCGGAATGAAGATACCTCTTGTTCGCTCGTGTCCAAGTTATTTGGTTGCGCTTAAGTTGCTTCCCACGAAATACAATTAGATCGCAGAAATTTCGTCTCTCTCTCTCTCTCTCTCTCTCTCTCTTTCTCGCTCTCTCTCTCTCTTTCTCTCGCACAAAAGGAGAAAAGCAGTATCGATGTACATCCGAATACGTAGCGATTTGGGCGAATATAAAAGTGAGAAACGTATTATTATACAAAAAGCATGAATAAGACGATTTAAACGAGATCAAACGGTCAAGATAAAAATTAATAGTAATGTTTGCTGTTCCTTTTTACATTACACTACCTAAGATCATTTTAAGATCATTACCTTGTCTCTCTCTCTCTCTCTCTCTCTGTCTGTCTGAATAATAATATATATGTATATAATAATAATAATAAAATAATATTTACATTCCAATGTAGTTTTTAATTGTGTTTTAAATGCAAATATAGTGTTGTTTCGAACAACTGTGTAGAGTTTGCTGGCTCTTCACTCGTTTCTTTTTTTTTTTAAATAATATATGAATTTCACAAAGTTTATAATGTCTACCACGAAAAAGTTATATATATATATACTCAATTAATGATCTTTATAACTCTGGACATGGATACATTAGCTTTTCTTCGAAAGACAGGGCAACACGTCAATCTTCACGTGTGTCAATTTCCTCTTGCACATTCACACAAGATAAGTACTCCAATCAAACCAACAACTTACAATTTTCTTACCATAAATTAATTACATAAAAAAAATCATTAATTTACTATAATACATCTAACGTCTTATTAAGTGTGTAAGCCTCCCTAAAAACGCTTCGCATTATTACGTATTGTAAGTCTTTTCTTTTTTCACTCCGTTGTTTCTTTTTGTTTTGTTTTCTTTTTTTTTTTTTTACCATAGGAAAATGGTCGACTTCTATCATGTCATAGAGCGTAGAAGAATTCCAGATATGGCCAAAGCAGACGATTTTTTTACATCCATGGGATGTATTTTACGTGGTTTCAACAACATACCGTTCGTACCTAAACGCAGTGCGTCACAAGCGCAATATAAATTATAATTTATAGTTTCACAGGTCAGTCCGTATATTTCCCTGTTCTCGAGAATTTCCTTTGCTCTCACAGCAAACGATAAACCAAATTCATTGACCAAGTTCCTTCCTATGTGTCTGCGTCTATTTAGTTGCCGTTCACACTGGACACTGATTCTCTCGACCTTTGCGCACACTATCGTGAACACATTGGATGCACTCATTAACCAGTTGGGAGATAAAACCACCACTGGAAATAAGAACAAGATGCGCAGTTAAGTTTCTGCATTGATGATTAGGTTTTATACGGTTTTATAAATCAATAAGTTCACATATTACACTTACGATTGTATCACAATAAAGGAATCTCTGTGTTGATGCATCACTCGAATGCTGCAAGCAAGGGAGAACAATATTAACACGTACCGAAGACTGTAATTGTGCATACAAGGCGCGTACGTAAAGGATCATTCGGCTATTTAAAAAAAAAAAAAAACACAAAAAAATGCGAATAAACGTAAAAATGTTTTATTTCAATTGACAAATTGACAATTGACATCTCCATGAATGCTTCGGTTGACCTTCTCAAGGCATTTTTGGTACCGTAGCACAGATTTCTTGATTCCCTCTTCAAAGAACTCCATCGCCAGCAATCTCCTGCTCCATTCAGTGACATTGTTTTTTCAAGCCATCCGTGGCAACATTTGGGCCTTCATGTGCATATAGTGCCACGTGCACCTCCTCCACACTTACGTCTCAATCGCAATCGGTAATTAATAACCGGATCTTATTAACCGCCTGCGCCTCGTATGTATATAACGGCATGTACACATAAAATAAAATAAGCAATAGCAGAGTAATGATAATACAATAATAATAGCCCTAATATGCACCAGAATTGCTTCGTTAAAATCGTTCGCGTTATCGATTTATTATTTACTGATTATTCAAGAAAGCAGGGAATGATGTGTCGAAGTAATAATTTGTGACCACCGGGGTAGATTTACGCTGATGTCCAGAAACAAATGTATGTATAGTTAGAAAAATACTAGTGATTATATTGCAATCAGTATTGTGGAGAAGTAGAAGAATATAACTATGCACAATTCGGTAACTTCTTGTGTGAAAATTCTAAAGAGAAAAACGAAATAAGATAATACTTACGAGATGGAGATCTGGTATCGGATTGATTTGACGTTCCATCCATCGGCAATCGTCCGCTGCATACGTTCCCTCCACTCGACGGATTGTAATTGAGAAAGTCCCAAATGAGTATTGTATCATCGTGAGACGATGAGACAATTTGGAATTCGTCAAACTGAAGGCGAAAAACACGTCCGGTATGCTCCTCCAATGAGAAATGTACGTGAGATTAGGTGAGAAAGATGGAACACCCTCGACCGGATGTTCGATGCGATTATAATGACGTGTATAGTGATAATATAATATAAAGTAATACCGATATCTTACCACTAATGTACGTAAGCATAACGTATTTGCAAGCGCACGTGGATCCAGAGCAGCGACCAAGTCCCAAACTTTAATTTTACTGCAACAGAAGTGTCGATTAGTATCTCTCGTTATGTATGTAAAAAAAATTACGTGTTCTCAGAAGATTCGTCTTTTTCTCTCTTTTTTTTTTAACGTTGAATAAAAATTGTGACGTTACGTTTTTTTTTTTTTTTTCAAGAAATTCGATTTCTTCTTTCTTCTTGCTTAACGATGAATTTCGCCAAGTAGTTGAGCAAAGATTACAACGTAAAGATAACTCACACGAGGAATTATGCAAGAGACAGGCATAAATTCTCGAGTCGGCGTAACACGGGACACAGAAAGAATCGCACTACAGAATCGAGATATACGTTTCCACGTGTATGTACGTACCCGTCGTAAGCGCCGCTGACGATGTGCTTGCTGTCAAACCGAATGCACCTTACTAGCTCTTCATGTCCCTCGAGAACGCGTAGACACGCGCCACACTCGATGTCCCACAGTCTAATGGTATTATCACTACTGCCACTAACTACTAAACGATCCCTATATTGCAAACACGCTATACCGCGCTTGTGTCCGTTTAATGTTCGCACAAATTCGCAGCTATACGTGTTCCATACTTTAATAGTCCTATCACCACTGGCTGAAACTATGTACTTCTCGTCGAAGTCAACCACGTTCACCGCTGCCCTATGTCCGACTAGTACTCTCCTAAGCGCGATTTCCGTCTGCGACACCATGTCCCAAACCGCGATCGAGCGATCCTGAAAACAAGAAACCGCGGAGTCAGTAAACGCGCGAACGGTGACAGCCGAACAGACAGCCCGAACGGTGAGACGAACTCCGAATCTACAACAGGTGTAGCAAGGCCTTCAGTCTTTCGCTCTCAGCACTAAACTGTTCATTTGTTTGTTTATTTATCACTAACAGGGGATGTATTTGAGACAGAAATTTAAAAGACAGAACATATTCGCAAATCAGGTACAGGAGACAAAATCACAAATACGTTTAACGAATCCAAGCAGTTTCACACAGTGACGCAGAATAAGTGAAATCTACAAAATTACGAGTATGCAAAAAGCGAGGGCCATGAAGCACTCGGAAACGTTAGACTGCGAACAATTATCCGCAAATGTGCCAAGGTCAGATTGAAGTCTGCAACAGTTACAGTATTTGATTTAACTATCAGGAATATGTTCGGTCGTTCACGTGCAATAGTAATGCGCCTCAGCAACTCGTAAATCTCTCAAGTGGAATTTTTTCTTGAAATTGTAACGTAACTTCTCCGATAAGAAGCGTTTTCAGCGCTATCGAACGTCGTAGTGTCCGAGACTCGAGTGTTATTACGACTTTAGGAAAAAGCAGTCTCTTGTCGGAAACTACGTTATATTTGATCGCTTCGGGTAAAAAACTGAAGGTTCACTTGAGGCACTGTGTACCTGTTGTAGATCCGGATTAAAATATGCAAAACTTTATTCGCTCTCTCTCTTTCTCAGACTGACCTTCGAACAAGTAACCATCATGCCGTTGTTAAATCGGAGATGCAATACTGCCTCGCAATGATGAATCAGCGTATTGACCATCTCTCCCGTGTTAGCGTCCCAAACTCTTACGGTACTGTCCGAGGAGCCGGATATTATAGCCTTATCGTCGTACTGCAAACACAAGACCGAGCCCGTGTGTCCCGTTAACACCTTGATGCACTGTAGAGTGTTCCTGTCCCAAATTTTTATCGTATTGTCCCGCAGCCCGGACACTATCTTCTGATCGTCGTACTGCAAGCAGTAGACGCCTTTCGAGTTCTCGCTGCGGCAATTGATTCGCTGAAGATTAAAACGGCCCATCCTCCAGTTGTTGTCTATACTGTCGATATCCTTGACGATCTTCGGGTAAAGAGACCGGTAGAAATTATGGTTGGGATGGCTCTCGCCTGGCCTCGGCTTGAAAAGGTACTGTATCCTGCGAAAGCGAGTCGTAAAGGAAGATTATTTGCGATTCATAAAAACGTACGTGTGTGTATGTACATACATAGTCGGCAAATTAAATATCGTTACAACACTCTTTTTCGCAGCACATATTGTATCTATAATAGGAAAATGTATCTCCTGCGAATTGCTGAGAAAACATATTCTCCTGTCGATGGACGACAGACGGGACGCGTTGCAAAATTCATCTCGGAAAAGGGTGTTGCGATCCCTTCGAGAAACCTTTGGCCTGCCGACTACGCGTGCGCGATCGGGATGATTTTCATCGATTCCCCGAGCAAAATCGCCCACCATCCTCTCCTTTCGGCGAGCCCTCTCCAAACAGAGTCGGTCCGGACTTTGCGCTCGATCAGCTTCTTCCACAGCATCCCTTCGCTGATCACTCGGTGCCATTCCTTGCACACCAGCTCCGCGGCGATCAGCGAATCGGCGTCCAGGTACGACAGGATGCTCTCCGCCACGTGGTCCAGTCCCTTTTCTGCGAAAGCGAATTCGTTCGACGTCGAGTCAGAGACACAAATGGAAGTATGACGGACGCAGGCTGCACGAAATGAAGAGAGAGCGCACGCGGCAAACGTGACAGTCGGTTGCGCGCGACCGACGTTTTTTACTCACTTGGCAAAAGCGAGATGAAGTCTCTTTGCAACATCGGCTTGAGATACGCATTGATGTGGCCGTGCTGATAGTGACACATCCGCGCTAACAGTTGCTCGACGAAATGCACCTGCTCCGGCTCGCTCCATCTTTCGAAGAGCTTCATACAGATTTCTCTCTCCTGCCCGTAATGAGCGGACACTCCCATAGGTTCTTTCTTGCGGGCGGGGTCATAGAGTATCGTCACTGGATACTGCAACAAAGAGGCGGAGGAAGGATATTAGACCTTCGTAACAGGCAAACGCCAATTTCCCGTGTATATTGCGTAAGTTATGGAAAGAGTGAGAAAAAAAAAGTTGAGAGAAGAAGAGGAAAGATATAACAATCCGGTGATATGGGTGAGGAGAATAAGGATGAACGTAAAAGGATGTGAGAAAAAATAATAAATTGTTCGGGGTTAGAAAATAAATAAGGGTAAGCGAGGATAAGTGATTAGACGTAAAAAGATGAAAAAGGGTGCGATGGATAGAATGGAAATAATGAGAGAAGCGTTGTTTGTGTGATACTTAGGTATTAGATTCCGACTGGTCAAATAAGGTGTGGATGAATGAGTGTGGTTGAGGCGAAAATTATAAACGTGCCTTTTTAGCATGTAAAAGCTGAAGTGAATATAAATATACATGTGTGTGTGTGTGTGTGTGTGTGTGTGTGTGTGTGTGTGTGTGTGTGTGTGTGTGTGTGTGTGTGTGTGTGTGTGTGTGTGTGTGTGTGTGTGTGTGTGTGTGTGTGTGTGTGTGTGTGTGTGTGTGTGTGTGTGTGTGTGTGTGTGTGTGTGTGTGTGTGTGTGTGTGTGTGTGTGTGTGTGTGTGTGTGTGTGTGTGTGTGTGTGTGTGTGTGTGTGTGTGTGTGTGTGTGTGTGTGTGTGTGTGTGTGTGTGTGTGTGTGTGTGTGTGTGTGTGTGTGTGTGTGTGTGTGTGTGTGTGTGTGTGTGTGTGTGTGTGTGTGTGTGTGTGTGTGTGTGTGTGTGTGTGTGTGTGTGTGTGTGTGTGTGTGTGTGTGTGTGTGTGTGTGTGTGTGTGTGTGTGTGTGTGTGTGTGTGTGTGTGTGTGTGTGTGTGTGTGTGTGTGTGTGTGTGTGTGTGTGTGTGTGTGTGTGTGTGTGTGTGTGTGTGTGTGTGTGTGTGTGTGTGTGTGTGTGTGTGTGTGTGTGTGTGTGTGTGTAAATGCCAATTTTCTACTTCACGAGGTTCTCTCACAAGCTAAGTCTGCGATAGGATAGATCCTAACACTTCGAGACACCCACAGATCTCTCATCATCATAAATAAAACGAGAGATCTCCCGTAAGATTCAGTGATCGAATGAAAATGACGGCTTTTTCTGGACAGATTCAAAGATTTTTTTTTAGCGTGCACTTGTTCCTTAAGTACGACGATAGCTTGACGTTCGTCTGTATCGATACCGCGTTATCAGCGACGAAATCGACAGATACGAGAAAGGGAAAGAGCGAAATATGCAGAACGAAAAAAAAGGAAACGCGTCTGCATTCCGAATATGCACTTGAATCGACTCGCGCGAAATGACCCGATAAATAGTTGCGTATACACGAGTTGCGGTATAACACTCGCGAGGCTAGAATCGCGGATGCATCTTGAGGTAGCGCGAAGTACCGGGTTCTTGACCCTTCTCTCTCTCTCTCTCTCTCTCTCTCTTCTTCCTCGCTCCGTTCCCTCGCTCGTGTTCCGCCGCGCGCAGGAGAAGAGCTTTTATAAATTAATTCATTTATACGCGCGTGTTGGCTTAAACGCACCAGCGTCTCTCTCACTCGTTTTTCCTCATTAACGTAGAAATCGCCGGTAATCGCGTGTCTGGTGCGCGACGCGTAAACGATTCCCACTTTAACCCGGCTAATTATCCCGACGAGGGCGCGCTTTAAGCTCTTAATATCAAATGTTAATAATCGGGCCATCGGCGTGTCTCCCGCGGACCGGTGTGGCGTGTGTGTTGATAACTTGCACGATTATTGATTAATCGCCGGCGACTCAAATTGCGCTCGCGATTTTAATTACCGGTATCAACTTGCGGCATTGATCCACCGTTGCTGCTGTTATGTGTCGATATCGACGTGGCACATAGGGGAACACCGGCGGAAATTCAGACGTGACGGGCGCGCGTGGTAAAATGCGCTTTTAACCGAAAGAAAGTGGCCCCGCACATGCCTCTTTTGCGCTTTCACCGTTTACGTCGTTTTCTTATCGCCAATATATCTATCATCATCGTTGATAGCCGGTCGTCCGATAATGCGTGAACCGCGATGTAGATACGCGGGCTTGACACCGTCAAGGATATCCTTTGATGGCACGGTACGAGAGAGAGAGAGAGAGAGAGAGAGAGAGAGAGAGAGAGAGAGAGAGACAAAAATAGAACGTAAGAACGTTTTGATCACGGTCTGATCCTCGTATCCTTTGACCGAGGTGTTTTCTCACCACACGTTATGCATCCACACGTATCGATTAAACATTGTTTCCGCTTAAGGTGACGCGGCGAAAGAAATCTTTCGTACGGACGAATCAAGGACAATCGCTGTAATTAATAGCGCGCGCGAGTTATGCTCGATTGAATGTCACACATTAACGGAGCGGGATTCGATAGGAGGGGTCGTCTTATCGAACATAGGAAAATCTCGCGAACGAGCCTCGGGCAACGGGGAAAATATTATACAGCCTGTGCGCTTCTTTATTGCTCCGGTGTGATTTTTCGGATTCCCGGCGCGTATTTCGCGCGTTTATCGGAAATCGTACGTCATCACTGCACCTCTCCCAGGGCTCCGGTCCAAGTGTGCTTCGGGAGAAATTTCAGAGACGGACGCGCACGGCTCGCACGCTCACGCATTATCGCGTTAATCTAATTTTAACGATAGCGCGTATCTAGTCCGCGGAATCTCACGCGGTGCGTCGCGGTAGGTCGCGAGTGCTCCTCCTGCAACGCGGCCCGCTCGAAAAATCGACGAGCGATCGGCAGAAGTTGCAAACGATCGTGTATCTACTTTATTTCCTCGTAAGAGCCACTTGGATCGCTATTCATAGTCGTTCATAGTTACGATCGTCCGAAGTTCATCTTCAGATGCTTCGTAGCCAATGAAAAAATCCACGTAGTATCTAGAAATGAAGTTAAGGATGTATTGCGTAAGTCGACGAAAAGTTTGACAAGCAAGACGCTTATCTATTATATATTATTAGAATATTTTTGGAAAATACATTTTCGCTTATCGTTCCATATGATTTTTCTGCCCTTTCCTTGCGTTTTAATCAAACAGAATGCACGTACACATATTTAGAACACTTGTGACTCCGCCTTTCCGTGCGAGGGTTGGGCGTTCTCATATATAAAATCTGACTACAAATGCCGCCCTTCAGAATCACGAATTTCGACCGATTTTCGAACCGCTGCCTCAGCGATTCGGCGGTCTGTTGAGATTAACGAAACGAGACCGTTCTTATCGGAGCTTATCACTGCACGTGTGCATTCGCCACTCTTTTCGCACAATGAATCACCGAGAAAACCGACGTGACAACAAATTCATTTCTCCCTCTCTCTCTTTCTCTCTATCTCTATGTACATATCGTGGAATTTGAAAGGTTTACCCACGCGTACTCGCATACAAGACGAAACACGGTCGGCGATATTTTTATAATCGGAGGGTTACGTTTGCGCGCAGAGAAAGTGCATCCACGATGGTGGTGTCGCAACGCAATGCAAGAGAGGATTCTCTCTCTCTCTCTCAGCGATTGTCGACACATAGCGAGATATTGTCAAAAACGAGTATTATGCGAGTCTACCACCGGTCGCGCGGTTGCGCGTCAGCGGAGAGTTTTCACATGTCACTGTCGCGTCGCCACGTCGTTTCCACGTTGCGCGTTTCTCAATCTCCTCCCCGACAAGCAAGCGCGTCGCCCGATACAGGGTGTCCCAGTTCGCGATTAAATAACGGAATTATTTCCCTCTTTCAATTTCCACGTTTCCCAACTTCAGCGGGTTAAGCTGACTTTAACCCTTTGAGCCCGAACGTATCCTTAACGATACGATGTATAATATCTCTAATAACCTGAATATCCTGATTAATCGATGCCATTTAATTGAACACTTTTGGGACTATCTAATAATAGAGTAGAAAGAAAGAGAGAGAGAGAGAGAGTTTGCTTATTTTGAAAAAAGAAATCGTTTCTATTTTTTTCATCGATATCTCAATTTTTCACGGTGCAATTTTTTAACTTTTTTTTCTGCTAAAATCATCTTTTGAATCGAATTATTAAAACACTCTACTTACATCGATACGATATACCCTCTATTGAAATAAAACACCTAAAGTTAAAAACAAGGACTCGAAGGGTTAAATTCCAGCGCTTGTGAAATTCCGAGACACCCCGTGGACAAGCCCGCCCGTTTCCTTACCGTATACCGTGTGACGTGATCGTCGCGCCGCGGGCTTTTATCCGAGCCGTTATTCGCGAGCACTAAACACGCGAAAATCCGTTTACGCTCCTCAGACAAACGAGTGATTGCAGTTCGCGTAGAGCGCTAATCGCGTATACTTCTTGCGTCTGACCTACTTGCCGCGTCCCTCCTATCTCAGGAAGTGAAAACCGTCATAAAAGACCCATATTACGTTAAACACTCATTAATGAAGGCTAAGCTCTCTTGCGTCGCGGAAAGGAATAAAAAAAAAAAGAGCAGAAAAAAGAACGAGGCGCGCGCGACAGGAGAACAATGCGATCGAGCGGCGATCAATTTTCCTGGCGCGTCACATTCCTAACGAGCTCGCGACGTTAATCGCGCCTTTAGAAACTCGCGTCCGTAGAATCCAGAATAGGATTCTATGACGGCGATTTTGTCGTAAATTTTGAGCCGAGGAAAGTGCGATCAGGTGGAAGTCTTTATGCGCGTGTTCTGCTCGAGAGAAACTTGCGACGTACGACATCACTTAGACTATGGAAATCCGAACTTTTATAATATTCAGTGTCTAGTTTCACGGTGATTTCTTTTTTATTCTATTATTCTATTGTATTTTATTGTATTATTTTCCAACGGGAAAACGCGCAAACGAGTAGCTTGCGAGCTAATTACGTCTCTACGCACGAAAAGGTTTTTCTACAGAAGAATACATACTGCATTTAGTATATGGTAAATATTACTTGTTTGAAATATTTCACATAAATTTATATATCGACAAATACATTATAAGTTCGTAAGCATCAG